TTTTGAAGCAATTATAATACTACGTACTCCCTCCTAAAAGTAGTCTGTCTGTATGTACCTGTCTGTCTCAACAGTGTAGGGAAGCTAAAGGAGCTGATACAGAAGCAGACTGACCTGGACCCTCGCTACCAGGAGCTGTTCTTTGAGAACCTTCCCTACAAACCAGCGCACCCTGAACCTGCTGCCAAACTACCTTTCACCACTGTACGGATCATATGTAGCTGTAACAATTAGCAATCTAAATTCACACAGTTTTAAAGCGAATGAGTCAGTATATAAGGGCTAAACTTAAAAACTGTTACTGAAAATGGAAAGTTAATTGCATCCTTGCACAGGATCTTATTGTTTAGTTCTATCACTAACACTTTTAAGTTTAGCCCTACTGCCACATTTTTAGTCCATTCCATACCATTCCATACTGCAAAGTATTAAAGATGGTTGGTGTATATTTTATTCCACTCTTGTTCCTACAACAAATGTGAAATCGTTAATACCTCAGCGAATTTTGGGCGAGATAGTAATAGAGATAGCAGATGTTACCATTCCATACTCCAACTGTAGTCAAAATATTAAGGATAGTTGGTTTGTCTCCTTTTTCACTCTTTTGCCCACAAAAAAATTTACCATTCCATACTCCAACTATAGTCAAAGTATTAAAGATAGTTGGTGTATATTTTATTCCACTCTTGTTCCTATATACAACAAATGTGAAATCGTTAATGCTGAGGTATTAACAATTTCACATTTGTTGTAGGAACAAGAGTGGAATAAAATATACACCAACTATCTTTAATACTTTTACTACAGTTGGAGTATGGAATGGTATGGAATGGACTAGGAATGTGGCAGTAGGGCTAAACTTAAAAGTGTTAGTGATAGAATTAAACAATAGGACCCAGTGCAAGGATGCAATTATCTTTCTATTTTCAGCAACAGTTTTTAAGTTTAGCCTTATATACTGATTCATTCGCTTTAAAACTGTGAATTTAGATTGGTAATTGTTACAGCTATATAATGATCCATATATACATACAGTGGTGAAAGGTAGTTTGGCAGCAGGTTCAGGGTGGGCAGGTTTGTAGGGAAGGTTCTCAAAGAACAGCTCCTGGTAGCGAGGGTCCAGGTCAGTCTGCTTCTGTATCAGCTCCTTTAGCTTCCCTACACTGTTGAGACAGACAGGTACGTACAGACAGACTACTTTTAGGAGGGAGTACGTAGTATTATAATATTATTGCTTCAAGCTTTTATTGACAGTGGTATACAGTGGAATCTCCGAACAAGGGACACCATGGAGCCAACGATTTTGTCCCTTGTAGAGAGGTCGTCCCTATCTCAGAGGTCAAATAATACACTAAAGTATTAGCATGGGGTTAAAACAAGTGTCCCTATCTCGGAGGGTCCCCTATGTATCGGAGGTTCCACTGTATAATGCAAGTGTTGTGGAATTATAGGGTTGTTACCCATCAGGTTCCTCTGGACTGATGTAGACTTTGTGGCAGGTACAAAGGTACACACAGAACACATCCACAACCTGTAAAAGAGGATGATCGAGAGGAATAGTATGAAATTGGAGCCTGCCATACATTACTAATGCCTCTCTATCAATGTCAGTGAAACTTTTTTCAAAATGATGTGGAACTCCACATGGTTATGGGTGTAGATGGCTGTAGGTTGGATAGATGGCTGATGGCTAGCTTTACCAGGGAGACCCAGAGGAGACACCTATTTTGAGATCCAGGCTAAAACTGCAGAGAATCGTTGGTGATAGACAGACGGTGTAGCTATGCAATGTATGTAGTTCCAGCACATTTTACACACCAGCGTATAATTCTAGCTCTGGAGCTGGAGTAGACAGTGCTCACGTTGTATGCCCTACAGTTCTGTTGTGTTTCCCTGTCCCTCTCTTCTGAGTAAAACCGGTTTACTGGACTACTAAGATCTGCACCGTTATGACTGGTTGCACCTCTCTCTTACACACCAAAGCGAAACAACAATTCCAGTGGGACCGTATTTTGTCAAAAATTTATATTTTACTTTTAGAATACACAGTACAACAGACAGTGCAATGTTGAAACAGTCAAGACTTCTACAGTCTTCGTATGCAGCTAATCCAAAGTCATTTACATCCCCATCAGTGGTGCTGCGTCTGGGAGCCTTTGGTAACCTCCACGAAAGAACCGATTCACAGCACGTACACAACCACTACAAAAGTTGTTGCAGGGACAGAAACTAAAGCAAGAGACATAGTGGCTTCTAATGTACTTGACACTGGTATACACTGCCCAGGAGAACACCAAAATGTGAGAGACAAGAGGAATGACGACCAAGGTCAGCTCTAGTCCTTCTGTTCCAACAGTCAGATCCAGCCAACGAGACAATTCAAAGCTGAGAACACCTATCATAAAGGCATGATAGCTGAGTGAGAAGTTTGCAAGAGTTGACTTGCATGGCCTCACATATGCCACCACCAATGACAACGCAAATGACAGATAGCCTGTAGTGCAATCCCTAGAGTAACCAGCGGCGTGAAATGTCTTCCAAGTGATGTATGTTACCAGAGCTTCCCACAGGAAGAACTAGTATGATGAGTCCAGCAAGAGCTCTGTAGTCTCGAGTGCCGTTCAGACCATCTTTGAAGCAGTTGTGCAGAGCTTCAGCAAATGCGGTGATGGCCAACTGTTTTCTGGCACTGATGAGTTGTGAGAGTCGACGATATATCCTTGTTGGGTAGACACAGAGTAACACGGCTGGGATGAGCACCAGAAATACACATGGCACAAGTGCTATAGACAGATACACAATATGTTCGTGACTGCCATAAATTATGGTGGGATCAAAGTACAAAACGGTCTCGTGTGGTCTAGCAACCTTGTTGGTTGAACTGACGAAATGAATTCTGGAAGATGGAGTCAGTGAACTCGCATTCAGTATAAGAGTTGTAGAAGATAGGAAAATGAATGTTGAAAATGTATGTATTATGGCATTGCCAACACTGAATTGTGTGTTTTTGAAGATGAATCCAAAGGGCCTCCAAAGGAAAAGGATAATTCTGCAGTTTCTTGCATAGAGCTCCATCAGAATACAGATAGTGAAGATTAGTATAAAAACATATATGGCAGGCAGTAAAGTTAGGAGCTGAATATGCACAGTGCTTAGTCTTTCACTGATACAGAATGGTGGAATAAGTGACCTAAAGAACAAAAGTGTCCACAACTCAGACAAGGTACGTGAAACATGGTACATTACTTTTAAAGTGTTGGAAGCATAAACTCTGGCAAAATATAAAGAACGTTCATTTCCATAAAAACCCATAAGGAGATAGAACTGACAGAAGAGGAAGTACCCAAGCAAAGGACCTGATGTGACATTTACACGGAATACAACTGAACACACAAAAAACAAAGTAGTTGGAACAATATCAATTAAGAGGTAGAGAAAGATGCTAAAACCTGTTGAGAACCTTGAGCAGTTGACACATTTCAAGTCAAGTGAATAAGCAGGTGGACCGTATCCATCAATACACTTGCCACACAGCAAACCTTCTCTGTTGTAAGGTCCACACATGGTGGCATTTAGCTTGCCAGGATCAGTGGGTAGCTCAGACCAAAGTCTGTTAGTGGTGTTCCTCCAATTGCCCATAGTCAGTCGACATATCCCGGCATTATAGCTGTCATTAGTCACACCAGTCATCAGACAAACTCCATTAGAAACATACGCTCTGTTTTCCAGCTGATTACATTCTATGTATTGATACCACACAAGAAGTTCATCACATTCACACGTGTTGGTGGTGGAGTTGTAGTAAAACGCAGTATGACAGCTGGTATTACTGGCTCCCAGCACCAGGTAGACAGTCACTGGTAGAAGAAGACTGATGCAGCACCAAATAGTAGTCGGAGAACGAGACATTGCGGTCAACACTGCGAAACTCTAGTACAATTCAGAGCTATAGATAGTGTAGGCACTGTCACTGTTGTGAAAATCGGTGCCATCATTTCGAAACACTTGAATCACAGTTTTTGAAACATATCTTCAACAGCAATAGATGCTATTTTCTCTTAGTATATAGGTCTGAGAAAAAACTTTCAGTCCAGTGGTATATACAATTTTTGAGGCTATTTTTTGTACTTGAGCTAAGCAATGTAAAGCCGCGCAATCTGATTGGTCCACTCACTGACTCTAATTGACGTACAGTCCGGAAAATATATAATTAGAGTCCGAAAAAAGCGAACCCAAAAATCTCGCGCATGCTCAGTGGTAACGTACTTTGGGCGGAGTCCTCAGCAGGGTGCAAAGGTTCCGGTCGAGACGAGCTTGTCATTGACGTCTTCTCTCGCTCGGCTTTTTAGTGAGAATAGCGCTCACTCGCTGTTCTAGCTGCACCGAAATTGAATCGCGTGCACGTGTTTGTAGCTTTAACAGGTTGCACGCGTTATAGCAGATCACGTATGTTGACATACTTTGCCTCATAGCTATTGCGTAGAACAGGTGGTCTATCAGGGGTAGTGCGCTGTGTTGCAAATACCACCGGCACCACCTTTTTCTCTCTTTCTTTTTATCTAGCATTTTCTAACCTCATTAATTATTCATAGTGGCCACTATGTGTTAAACACAGCAATGTCTGAAAAAACACACTCCATACCTCTTTTTCGGCTGAAAAAGTTAATTACTAACTCAGTGTAACTACCCTCACGTTCAAGTCACTGAGTAGGTACAGTAGCATGTTAGAGGCTCACCCTCATCTTGCTGATGTTCTCAATGGTGGCAAAGAACCTCTCAAACGACAGCATCTTGGAGATGTCGCTCTCCAGCAGTCCAGCCAGCACCGGAGTGATCAGATCCATTACAGTATGTACAATACCAAAAATCACGTAAACCATTACGGTATGTGCAGTGCATGCTCCGCCACATAGAAAATCCGCCATTCAGACGACTAGGTAGGCTTGCTTCGCTCACCAACAATTTATTATTTTTACAGGTACACACCATGTATTTCAGATGGCTGAAGGGCCAAGAACAAATAATAATGATTATACATTATTTCAAGTCTGTTACATAATTATTATAGTGGCAGTAGAAGGAAATGATCAGTGGTATAGAGCAGCAATGTTTAATCTGGGAATAGAGGAAGACGATACATGTTCAATGCAACGGCAGAGAACGAGAAAGGAAAACTGGTGGCAAAAAAACCTCTCAAACTACAGCATGTTGGAGATGTCGCTCTCCAGCAGTCCAGCCAGCACCGGAGTGATCAGATCCATTACAGTATGTACGGTACCAAAAATCACGTAAACCATTACGGTATGCATGTGCAGTGCATGCCCCGCCACATAGAAAATCCGCCATTCAGACGACTAGGTAGGCTTGCTTCGCTCACCAACAATTTATTATTTTTACAGGTACACACCATGTATTTCAGATGGCTGAAGGGCCAAGAACAAAATAATGATTATACATTATTTCAAGTCTGTTACATAATTATTATAGTGGCAGTGGAAGGAAATGATCAGTGGTATAGAGCAGCAATGTTTAATCTGGGAATAGAGGAAGACGACATTATCATGTTCAATGCAACGGCAGAGAAAACATCCAAGGAACTGAGACCAAGGCAAAATTTACATCATGAGTCACAGAATTACCTCTCCAGTTTAGTTCTTTGCTCATTCAAATCTTGTTCAACACTGCTGTTGAAACTACGTAGCTTGGCGAGAACCCTCCTAGGGAAACGACATCATATTAATATCAGGCTCAGGAAAAAAGGATCTACCTCTGCATCTCGAGACTAGCATTGTCTTCTGGAGCATCGACACCCTCACTGCCACTCCCTGAGGTCTGCGCAGGAGGAGAGTGCTGACTCAGCACTGTCATCATCTTCCTACTGAGCTCTGATATCCTGTGCTGAAAATTGGTCTCCCACTGTGGGTGTATGTTGAAATTCAGTATTCAACATCATCGCAGCAAAAGTCTATAATACTTTCCTTCAAAGTATGCTTGTAAAAGAGACTTTTCAGTGTTACCTTGTAGCTAGTGTGTACAATAGTGATGAGTGCAATAGGGTGTATAAAAGGCATCTTGAAAATGAGTCCATTCAAACACTTAACACGTGAGACCTACACGCTTTTCAGTTTAGCAAAAAGTAAAGGGAGGATCCTATACGCTTCCACCCAAGCAGTGTCTAGCTATCATGAGGTACTTATAGCATACAGTGTTCTGTGCCTGTAGATGTTGCCCACACTCCTCAGCATGCTTGGTCATCTTTCCTCCCACCACTTCAATATCCTTGCGAACAGGTATCAGCCTCCTGCATGCATCAACAGTGGGTATACCTACAGTTTGACGAGTTTTCGTGTCCATGTGACTCACGTGAACCAGTCTCCTAGTTTCGAGTAGACAGTTTCCCTGCCAGTGAGATAGCCCACCACCTTCTCCTGGGCCTCCAGTAGCTTCTGGTGCAATTTGATCCTGGGGTATATACATAGGGGACAGTGACCCACTGCAGTGTAACCCACAAACTCACTTAATTGGACTATTTTGCTCTTACTTCTTAATACAAATCATAGACAATGGAATACGACATGGGGGCAGGGCTAGGGGTTCTAGACAATGGAAAGATCAATGAAGTAATGACATATTAATCATCATCTTCCTCTCAAAACCCTGCTATTACAACATAGCAAGGAATTATATGTATGTATTAGGAATGAGTCCATGCAGGAGTTTATGTGGTCCATTTGGACATACATATAATACAGTAAGGCGAGTTTGACATTATGTACAGACAAAGGAGGCAAGTTTGCATCGATGCACAAACTTTTAATTGTGGCTCACTTTGTGAAATCGTGGACTTTCTGATCATGTGTACTCATACCTGGAGGGGAAGGACTGTTAGTGAACATAAGCCAATGTAGCTCTGTACATGCTTGACAAAATGTGTCTCTCTCACTTTTGTGTTTCTTCTCCTTGAGAAAAGTCTTGTAGTTGCTGTCCACTGAGCGAACTAGGAAATGGAGCGTCTCCACGCTAAGTATAGATAAGGATGGAGTATGAAAAGGTAGGGAAAATTTAGGAGAGAGAAAAAGGAGTCACCTGCGGTTGAAGAGCTCACTGCAGTACTTGGAGTCCCAGGAGGTCTTCTCTCCAATCTCCCCCTTCAACTGACTCATCTTGTCCCTCATACTTCGAGGAGCCTCACTGAACTGTTCGAAATATATACAATATCAAATTTCCTAACTCTCTGTAAAATTTAGGCAAAGTATCCCGAAAAGAAAGGTTTGTCTCCCTCATGTAATCCCATGGTGTAAGTGGTACTTTGTGGGTGGAAGCACTTCTGGGGGGATAAGTGCACATACATAGCTGTGACTGTGAGGTAGCTGACCTCGTAAAGACTCTTCTGTTTAGCTGTTATTTCTCCATTCAGTAGTTGGATATCATCCTGAAACTCTGGTAACAAACACATGGAGAGAGAGCTAATAGCCAACCCACCTGCACTTGGAAATCAGTATACTATAGCTACTCACTTTGGTCAGAGACATGATTGGCTGCCTGAACAAGTTCCTTTAGACTCGTTATTCTAGCCAGAGAAAAAAGATATACAACTCAGTCTAGCGAGCCAACATCCTGAAATCCAAGTTGGTGTACAAATGGATGGACACACACTGACCCAGAGACTTGGCTGGTGAGGACTCTGCAGATGGCCTCGTTGACTTGCTGCAGTGACTGGAGCTGCTGGACCACCAGCTGGTACTCATGGTTCACTGTGTGACTAGACACACACAGAGAATGATCATTAACCCTCGGCACGCATGCGCAGCGAGGGTTACAGTAGTTGGGTTTGTCTGTGTGTCTGTGTGTCTGTCTGTCTGTTACTCTTCATCTCACTTCTCGAATGTTCTTTCATCTCACAAAGGATACCACCTACTGAACGGGCAATGAAGGTCAGAAATTTCGAACGGTTTTCTCTGAAAACGCTCCGTTGCAAAGCTAGAGCGGGAAAAAGCCAATATGCATAATACACAACGGACGGGACGGCTTACTACGGCATGATCGGTCCGTGTGCTCTGTGTACCTCGGAGGCACCAGAAGATGCAACGCAGGGCGTGTATCGCCTCTCGCATGCTATCTAGTAGTGTAGTTAGCCCGTGTCAGCCTCTGCGCGAGCTGGCAAGAGACCACGAGTAACAGCTAAAACTAAACCCAGTCCATCAATTAGTAGTACGGCGCATGCGTTTACTTATGCGCGCGCGTCACAGTGCACCGAGGGTTTGCACTTCAGTGCTTTTCATTAGACACATTAGGGGTCAGCTAAACAATTTCTATCGCAATCTTAAAGGAGTTACTAGCTACACGTGTTGGGGTGTTTAAACACGGCTACGAACAAGTAACTACAGGAGCTAGATTGAGATGAAAAAAAACAGAGGGATGACTGGCTTATGCACAATTGCAAGGCATGTTTTTGAATTCATTAACTTACGGGGTAATGCGCTAACAGGGCAAGAGAGTGTGGAAGTACGCATATACACTTGTAGGAGCTGGCAAAGAGAAATGTTCTGTGTGTTAGGAAAAGAAAAGTACCTGTAGCAGAGGGCAGCCTGATGCATGAGATGAAACATTCTCTCAATCTGTTCCGTGTGGTGCTTGAGAGACCACATCACCTTTGCACACTCCTGAACACAACAGCAACAACTTTAATAAAAAAACATCAATGCTCGACATTTGTGTGACTTGGTTTTTTAAAACTGCACAGTGGTATGCACAAAATGAACACAGCAAATATATCATGTACCTTTGCAAATACAACATCAGTGGAAAGGGCAAATCCTTGTGGAATAGACGGAATTGAAGCTGCAAACAAAGGTTTGTGTGCATAACAAGTCACACTCTTCCCATACACAGTGAAACTCAATTAGCCATTCACAGTGGACCTTCACGTACGTAGTATTGGAGATCTCAGTTCTGCAGTCTTCTTGACGTTGCCCCCAAAAACAAACATTGGTCTCTCAGCCTATAACAAAACGCAGAAAAAAAGAAGATCAACGACTACAAATTGTTTGTTGTAGGAACAAGAGTGGAGAAAAAGATAAACCAACTATCTTTAATACTTTGAGTACAGTTGGAGTACGGAATACGGGAATGGTAACATTTCCTATCTCTGCTGCTCCTATTCGTATCTTGCCCAAATTTCGCTGTCCCCCTATATACAGGTGTCAATGATTTCGCATTTGTTGTAGGCACAAGAGTGGGAAAAGAGACAAACCAACTATCCTTAATACTTTGACTACAGTTGGAGTATGGAATGGTAACATCTGCTATCTTGCTGCTCCTATCCCTATCTTGCCCAAAATTCGCTGTCCCCCTATATAAAGGTGTCAACGATTTCGCATTTGTTGTAGGAACA